TGTCTCAAACTGTGCTCAGATTTGCTCAAAAGTCTTCAATCAAAAGTCTGAGATCTCAAACATTTCTCACCAAATGATCTCTATACTCTTACTGGATGATGACCAGGGATTCAGCTGGGCCTGTTTTAGGAGAAACATCTGAGACAATGAAATGTAAAATCTCAACTTTGTCTCAAACTGTGCTCAGATTTGCTCAAAAGTCTTCAATCAAAAGTCTGAGATCTCAAACATTTCTCACCAAATGATCTCTATACTCTTACTGGATGATGACCAGGGATTCAGCTGGGCCTGCTTTAGGAGAAACATCTGAGACAATGAAATGTAAAATCTCAACTTTGTCTCAAACTGTGCTCAGATTTGCTCAAGATCCCAAAGTCTTGATCAAACGTCAGAGATCGCAAACACTTCTCACTGGATGATGACTAGTGCCTCATTTGGGCCTGTTTTAGGAAGAAACATCTGAGACAAAGTTGATACTTCAGTGAAACGTAACTGAGACCTCTATGAAGTGAGCTGTGAAAACGCAACATTTGAGCAATAAAATGTATCTCTGTGTTCAAACTGAACTGATGAGCTCTGTCTGTCCGGCAGGTGAGCGATGCGAGATCTCATCGCGCTCGGGCCGCTGTGCCGAGGGCGTGTGTAAGAACGGCGGGACGTGTCTCAATCTGCTGGTGGGCGGCTTCAGGTGCGAGTGTCCTCCCGGAGGCTTCGAGAAGCCCTTCTGCCACATGAGCTCCAGGAACTTCCCTCCGCAGACCTTCATCACCTTCAAGGGTCTCCGGCAGCGCTTCCACTTCACGCTCTCGCTGTCGTGAGTATTTGTCACCGAGATGAAGCCGTCAGCCGTGTTTGTTCGTTAGTCAGCGAGTCAATAATGCTTAATGAAGCTCCTTCTTCTGGATGTTTGCTCAGTGTCTCGGGAGCTTTTATCCGCTCGTCTCAGAGCATTATATAACATTATTCAGCGCTATTTGTCGCAAATATTTTTATACCCAAACGTCAGTGTGGTCGTGTTGATCTGTCCGTCTCGAATGGGAAAACAGATGCTCTGTCTGGATGCTCGGCTTTGCTCTTTTCTTTCTCTCTTTCTCTCATGCTTGTTTGCTGATGAATGCTCTGTCAGTAATCTGTTCAGCGTGTGTATAGACTGTGTGTTTTGCTCGGAGACGTTCAGGACTGATGAGGGCTTTTTTGCGCGGGTTGCTCGGCACTGATTCTTGTGTTTCGAGGGATGTTTTCCAAAGGTTTAAAGGGTCATATTGTGAGTTTCCAGGACTCAAAACTCTCTTGAAACATTATCACGTAATCGTTCACATTTACACCGAGCATGAGTAGGAAGTAGGACACCAGGAGAACTAAGAAACTGAGTCGAAATATGATTTACATGTAGACGTCTTAAAGGCGCAGTAGCAAAAACAGACTGTCTTTTATTGTACGGATCAGAAAGAGGGTGTAAAGTGATCATGAGAGACTCGATTATGGCCGTTTTTGTTGCGTGAAACCTCCAGGAACGTGATGAGAGGAGCTCGGGGAAGATATGAAATGTATGAAACGACCCCATTAACTGTGCCGGAGATAAAGGAGGATGTTGGGGTGATGCTGAAGGAGAAATGAAGGGTGTGTGTGTGTGTCTCTGGAGGAGATGTGATTATTCTCCTCAGTAACCAGGTCAACAGCGCTAAACCCCACGGCAAAACCACAGGAACAGCCACGAATACACCAGCACATCACACACACTCGCAGATTTTAAGATTTAAGTGAATTTTGGTGTCATTTTTATATGCATTATTGCATTATTTCAAAAATACTGACTCAATAATTAATAATAATAATTATAAATATAAATGTTATTAATGGTACTAATTGAAGTAGCAGAAATAAAACAATTAATTTAATTAAATTTAATTTATAATCCACAAAACATGAATAAGCATTAAAACTAATTGTTTGATTTTGCTCTTGCTACATTTACATTGTATTGGTTTATCAGATGCTTTCATCCAGATGAGTTTCTCCTCCTCTGTGTTTTCAGGTTTTATGTTCGTCTGCAGTGTAATAATAACAGTCTGGTGTTTTATTTTCGTCTGTTTCCTGCCGTTTGTGAGCGTTTGTTTGATTGGGTCTGTTTGGGCTGTCGTGTTCTCTCCTGCTGCTGCTTGCTGACCTACTTTAACTTTATAAATGTGAGACGGATACCTGTGAAGATCTGCTGCAGTCGCCGCGCATCACTATAGCAGATAGTCGCTGTTTGTTAGTGGTGTTGAGCTCAATCACTAGTACCAGTGCTGAGAGTGAGAGCAGAAGAGCACTGTGTGTGTGTGTGTGTGTGTGTATTTAATCTACTGATGTTACTCCAGCAGAAACACTGAGTTTAATCCACAAAGACATGTTTGGACTGCTAATGTGAATGATGGACTTAAAGATGTATTCACACTCACACACACACACACACACACACACACACGCTCATTCACTCACTCACTGACTCACTCACACTCACACACACACACTCACACACACACACACGCTCACACTCACACACACGCACGCTCACACTCACACACACACACACAAGCATCACAGACTTGCTCTAACGCTGGGGTTTGGGGCCAGGGGCCACTCACAGGGGAGAAAATGTTCCAAGGCTTTTGTATTCTTAGATGCCACTGGATCTTCTGTTTCAGTAAAAAAAAGCATGTCTAATTATTTTAAAACTTACATACAATTTAACAACAATGTATTAAAAGTTTAACAACAGTTCTGTCATGACAACTCTCGGAGGGATTGGCATGGTAATGTACATGACAATGTTAATGTATTTGGTCATGGTGGAATAGATCTGCTACGCTGCTGCTGCTGCAGCAGAGCAAGTACAGAGACTTGCTACTGCCAATACATCCACAACATGCTGCTGTGAGCATGTAAGAAATATCCTCTGTAAATCTGGTTTTTCTCCTGCAGGTTTGCGACTCGAGAGCCTGACGGTCTGCTGCTGTATAACGGACGCTTCAACCAGAAACACGACTTCATCGCTCTGGAGATCGTTAATGAACAGATCCAGCTCACATTCTCCGCAGGTAAACGCCAGAACCACACAGTCGTGTGTGAACCTGCAGCAAAAGCTCGATGTGAATTATCAGCTGATTCACTCGTCACAATGCTAAAATAACAAACATGACTTCATTGACCCAGATGTCACATGACCCAGAAGCTTGTATCTTATTGGTTTTAATGTGCGTCAGTTGTTGAATGTGTGTGTATAATTCACCGTCGTGAACTTTTGAGCTGCAGGAGAGACGCAGACGACGGTGTCGCCCTTCATCGCGGGCGGAGTGAGTGACGGGCGCTGGCACACGGCACACGTGCACTACTACAACAAGGTGAGCCATGTGACCACAGGATGTGACATCACCGTCGCACAGGAAGTGTCTTTCAAAGTCTTAAACGAAGTGTCTTTCATGGGTCTAAAGTCTGATGAGAAGGGTTGCGTGAGTGAAATGTAGGACAGATTTGTGTGAGTGAGTGAGTGTGTGTGTGTGTGAGTGTGCGCGTTTTTGTGACAAATGAGGACATAAATTTGTATAATGACAAAGGTATGACATGGGTATTACAAGGAGAAGGTGACTTTTCAGGACATTACCCCATGTCCCCACTTTTCAAAACGCATATAAATCACACAGAATGGAGTGTATTGAAAATCTGAAATAGCACAAAGTTTCCTGTAAGGGGTAGGTTTAGGGCTAGGGTTGGTGTAGGACAATAGAATATACGGTCTGTACAGTAGAAAAACCATAACGCCTATGGGATGTCCCCACTTTTCACAAAAACAAACCTGTGTGTGTGTAAAATGTAATACTTCAACTTATTTAATGCAAATAGAATTGCATGTAGTTTGTTCATATATTTATTTTTATTTTCTAATTTAATTTATTCAACGAATTTCAGCATTATTTTAGTATTATTGAGATACTATTATAGTTTTTCCTAATATTTTGAATTGTTTTTTTATTATTCTGTTTTAATTTTAATTTTTTTAAGTTTTAGTCATTTTGTTGTATTTTTGTCATCATTATTATTATTATTATTATT